CAGCCCCGCTGCATGGAAAAACAAAGAACCAGTAGAGTTTGAAAAGTAGGTTTGTACTGTGTTTTTCATTTTTCCCTCCCCAGAACAAAGCAGGCTGTGATTCATCTTTTATGATTTATTAATTTCAATCCATAACACCGGCTTGCTGATTCTGATTACTACGGATGCGGGGTGTGGAGATTTCCCGGCTTTATTTGGCCTGCGATAGGATTATTTTCCAGTTTATAAATTCAGTGTCAGTTTTCAGGCACCAGTCCTATAAACAAGGTTTGCATGCTTATGCTGATGCAAGCTGAACTGGATTTTAGGGGCATCCAAACTGAAATAAAATGAGTTGACTGCCTTCAGACAGCCTTTATTAAAGCTCCCTGAATCGACTGTCCTCAAGAAAACAAAACATGTTTTAAAGACATCTAGTAGTTAGTTTGAATCACATCTGAGCCTAATCACTACCAACTTAAACCCTGTTCATTACTGATGCTTAGTTTCCATTATGTAATTATTACACATACTGTAAGCTCAACTCCCTCACAGTTTGCTCCAGACATGCCACGATCCTAATTTGTATTTGATTTTCTATTTTCTGTTTCATTTCCTCCTTTCCACTTGAGGCTTTTCATTTTATGAAGAGATGGTGGTGGTTTAGGATTGTGTTTGTACACAAGATGTGCCTCATTGCTTGGCTTTAAATAGAATGCTGTATGTCCTTTTTTAGATATCCGTGGCAGTAGTCAAAACCCTGTATCTCCTGAGCAAGCTCTGTTTTCACAGTTTTTGATCTCACCGCTTCTTCTTACTTGTATTTGTTGATAAGGAATCAATCATGTTTGGTTCTTGTTTTTTAAACTTTGCAGCTACCATATGAAATTTGATCAACTTTTCACGAACCAACCTTGTATGATTTCATTATTTGTAACGTTTTAAGCACCAAAATGTAATGGTCTCTTCTAAAGGAATACACAACAGTAGCCTATTCTAACAGCCGAATGTAAATATTCTTAGTTTGTTTTAGGAATGAGGCAATCACGGGGCACTGGTGGCGCAGTGTTAGAGCGCATGCCCCATGTATGGAGGCTGTAGTCCTCCAAACGGGTGTTGCGGTTCGAGTCCGACTAGTGGCTCCTTTCCCACATGTCAGTCCCCTCTCTCTCTCTCTCTCTCTCTCTCTCTCTCTCTCTCTCTCTCTCTATGATTTCCGACTCTATCCACTGTCCTATCTCTCCAATAAGGGCACAAAAAAGCCCAAAATAAATATTTAAAAAAGAAAAAAGAATGATGCATTCAGTAGAAAATTAGTAACATTATAAAACTATTTTCATGATTAATTAATGATCATTAAGTAATTATCTTTGCAAGCAAATTTTGTTTTTTTTCCAGGATGATTTGTGAACAGACTAGAATAATGATGTCTGCTTGGAACCCATTTCATCCAATTTTTGATAAAAAAGGGAAAATACAAAATGAATGGGGCAATGATGGTATTCTATCTTTTATATCTCAAAGTCCAACTCACAAAACACATTTTGCTCATTATGTTACAGCACAAACACACACACAGCAATTAGCCCTTTGTTTTGCACTTGATATAGAGTAAGGCTTTCAACACACTAGTCCTGCTGTTGGAGTTTAATTCCATCCACAGAGAGACGATAAGCTGGTGACAGGTCATTTCCAGTTTATTATGACCCCCCATACTCAACAGGTGCAATACCTGTTAAACCCTCTGTAACATGAATCCTCCCTGGAGTGAGCAGGCAAGAGCAAAGCGCCTCATCCATTACTCATCCTCCTGTGTAACGGCTCCAGATTGCCTCATCTTACAATGTGGACCTATTTACTGGTGTAGGGACCCTGGAGTGATTTAACCCCTCACCATACAAGGACTGTAGTAACAGACTGAATTGTTGCCACAATTATTATAAAGTCTGGAAGTAACTTCTTTTTTAAAACGTCTTCAGTGACCACCAACTCTCTGAAGATGCCTAATAATTCCCTGGAACTGCACACGGCTATTTGTACAGATGTATGTGAATGAGACATGGTTTTGCATAGAAAGGCGCCGTTATAAGGGATGAACCAAAAAGGTTCAAAAAAGTGCTGCAGCACTAAGATGCTATATGCTTGACAGCGCAGTTCCAATTCGCCTTTATACCTGGAGAATAAATGCTTTTTGTAGCTTGACTGGTCAGAAAAGCTGCTCAGTCATTTAGTGAATTTGCCACAGAGAGTGAAGTGCAGACCTGTAGAGAGAGCAGTTTGCAGTTTGAAGACGACTTCATTTTTGACTACTCTGACCCGTTCCACTATCACACTCTTCATTTGTTAGCAGCATAGTGCCACAAATATGACAATGTCTCTCATCAGCAGAACAACACAAAGGCTCCTGCTTGTTCATGAGAAAGACAAATTGCTCTGCGGTGCTCTGCTGTTTAGAAGTCTGTGTTCCCTGTTGTAAAGACCAAGTCTGGAGTTGTGCATTTGCTCAGAAGCAAGGAATGCTTTAAATAGTACCAGTGCAGTGCAGTGCTGGGTTGAAGGTTGAAGCGTTCCTGCACCAGTGTGTCCCTCAGTGGGACAGCAGCACTGAGGTCAAGAGGGGCACCATGAATCACAAATCCCTGACTGATTTGTTAACAGTCATGGCATTGATTTACAGGCCTGATCAGAGGAGAGAAATCCTCAGGCAGCTAGCGCCAAGATGGGAGTGTAATCACACAGTAGATTACTCTTGAAAAGAAGGTCAAAGCTCTTTGTTATTGTGATTAAAACCTTTTTCTGTTTTAAGCTGTTGTTTCCTCAACCAGTAAACCCACTAGCACCATCTATAGATCTGTCAATACATGGGTAATAATTTAAACATTTCATACATCCAATGCCTCGCTGACTCCGTATAAAGAGCAACAAAGTCGGCATATAGAGAGGAAATAAAAGTGGATGAAGGGGATGAGGGGATTGTTATCAAGAAGACAGCAAAACCAAGAAAGAGCAGAATCACATCGACAGCAAGCTGCACTTAAGGAAAAAAAGAACAGCATTTGAAGTTTGGTATACCAGACATTGCAACATTTAGAGACTTAATAGCGGATATCTGTCATTTTCTACTATACAGACGTGCGTGGAGGAAGCTTCTCGTCAATGACGTAATGAAGCGATCGAAAAAAACATTCTCCTGAACGACATCTGAACTTTTAACAAGATTTTGAAACAGTGACACTAGTAGATTTATGTTAAATGGGAAAGAATACCTATCAATAGATGTAGGTCGCTTCAAAGTTTGGACGTAGCCTACCCTAACAGGTCTCCGTGTGTGTATGTAGGTGTGTAAGTGTGTGTGTGTGCTGACATGTTTCTCCATGAGGGCAACAATCATAAGATTGTTGAACATGTGAAAATTAAGTAAAATACATGGTGGAGAGAAGGTAAAAGTTTTTAAGACAGTTTTATTGTTTATTTATCAAAGAGAGACTTTTTTTTTTGGCAGAATTGTAATTCTTAAAAATATGACCAAAGGACATGAAAGTGCTTGTAGTTAAAGAACCACTCTGATGTGATCATGCAGGTATACCACTGGATATATTGTTGGATTTAAAAAAACCTCTATTCATTACACACACATTGTTTACAAAGCAGAACTAATCTAGCAAAGATCATACACAACACAAAGAGAAACAGTCAATGCAGACATATTTATGCAGGCAGGTTGTCTGACTCAGCACTGGAGTTCTAACAAGCCCGAGCCTGTCATTCAGAGTTTGGAATTTGCTTTGTTTATTTAAGTAGTTTTTGTTCAAAACTAACAATCTAACAATTAAGTTCTGCTTCTTGTTTAGAGGTTTTGCACAATAAAAATCTGTGAGCGGAAGCAATCATTAAATACTGTTACAAAGAAACGTCCTCACTTATTATCTAAATGTGTTGTAAAGGTGTCCGGTCATAATATTGTGGGAAGATATTTTTTTTTACAGTTAAAACTTTTTTTTTCAAATTATGAATACTCCTAAAAAATGTTTTAATCGGATTACATGTTGCCTCGTACATCATGTGAAGGGCATGCAGGGGGCTTTGGCCCTCCCACACTCAGACCAATGAAATACCAAATTACAACTTTCCAGCATTTCAAACCCTGTGCTTGAATGAAGCAGCAAAAGGAAAGCTTGAGCCAGGGAATAGGCTGCACTTTATGGATTGTAAAATTGTTTTTTCTTTTTCTATTGATAAAAGTGAAGTTGGAATTGTTTCAGCACCAGACAATGCCTTAATCACAGTAATCATTCCAGCCTTTTCTTGTTTCTTAATTTTCAAACACAATTATACAAAACAAAAGCGTAGTAATGACATCATGCAAGCTGAAATGGTGTGTGAGGGGGGGCACATTTTGAAACATTTATAAATAAGAAAAATCCTGAAAAACTGCTGATATTTCCAGGAGGAGCTGTATGTTTTTTCATTCTGACTTAACCCAGAGTTTTCCTGCCAGCCCCTTAGTATTTTTTCCTCAGCAAGATATAACCTGTAGATGTCACCTAGAGCCAGCAGGAGAGGGTGGTGACGTTTATATCCTTTGGAGTCAGTGCTTAGACTGTGCACGAGACCATTATGAACTCTGTGCACGTAATTAAACAGACTAAATGTCTGTAACTTTGCTTCTGCAATCCTGCTTTTTTAGGGTGGGAATATATGCAGAGTAACTTTACTTCCAGGGCCTGTTCAATATGTTGCCCAAGTGTTAGATTGAACTCATTGGCTTCTAATGGCGACTGCAAACAGAGAGTGTTCATAATGTTAAGAGTGAGACATTAGCTCTCAAAACGTACTATATGGACAGTAAATGATATGAAAGTGGCAGAAAAGTGGTGTTGCTGCAAATGTCCTTCACTCACAACCAAACTAGAGTGCTGCTTAATGATTGTCCCTGTGTTGTTTTATGCAGAGTATGTTACATTCGCAACCTCTCTTTTGTTGATCTTGCCTTGACTTAGCTCTTCTCTTCTGTCTTCCAGTAGCTGACTGTCGAGTCTTGGATGGATTGCAGAGATATTCCCCTATCCCCACATACCTGCCTGTCAACTACCAGGTGCTCAGTGCTGACTTGGCGTTCTTCCTGAAGGAAGCCAACCAGGACTTCATGAGGAACTCGAGCCTGATGTCACGGACTGAACCCTTCTTTATCTACCAGGCCAGAAGTTTGCCCTCAGTGAACGCTAGCTACGGGCCTCTGTCTCTGGAGCAGCCTGTCCCGTTAGAGCTCCTCCAGAGCCCTGGGACATTTCCTGCCTCTTCAGTTTTCACCTTTAACTGGAAGATGCAGACGTTTATCATGAATACCAGGATTCACCTGGCCAAACCTAGAGTCCAGGTGCTTTTTTACATCGTAGGCAGGGACTGGGACGACTACAGTGCCATCGACAAGCTGCCTTGCGTGCACATGTTTGCTTTTCACGAGACCCAGGAGGTGCGTGGAAGCTGCCAGCTGAAGGGGGAGCTGGGTCTGTGTGTGGCAGAGCTGGAGCCCTTAGCCAGCTGGTTCAGCCCGCCCAGCGTGGTGCCAGGCCGCCAGAGGAACCTGGACGTATCTGAGGGCACCCAGGTGGAGCTCTACTACATGCTGCAGTCCACAGAAGCCGGGAAGTGCCACTCCGAGGAAGCCAGGAAGGACAGCTTCATCCGCTCGAGCCAGGAGGGCCTGTTTGGTTCATACACCTCGACGCCGCTGAGGAGGATCGGCGGCGTGAGGCTCTACCAGAACCCCGCTCCACCGCCCCTCACTGAACACAGGCTGGATAATAACTTTATGGTCTCGGTGCCAGCCACACCCATGAGACAGAGGGAAACCGTCTCTGCTTTCATCACAGTGTCAGCGTACTCTACCGTGGAGATGTTTACTCTCAGGTAAGAGAGCATATTCTTTTGTTCTGCGTAAAGTATCTGGCTGTGACTTCCTTTGTCAGCCTCAGACTGTGGAATTCTGCAGCCTGGACTATTTAGTCGTACTTTTCTTTAGGTATTTTATTCTTTTCTAGAAATCCATGCAGTATCCACGCTAACCTTTAAAAAATACACTGACACATGGCTAAACATGTAGCTCTTTTTTCTTTATGTGGTAGCACACCTGAAAATCCTCCACATGCCTGGTTTCTCTGCTTGGTTCTCTTGCTCTTTGTGATCCCTCTGTTTATGTTTTATTAACCTTTAACACGTAGTACTGTTGTTCCCGTTGATAAACAGTTTCAAGTTCTGAAGTCAAACTACTGAATGAGAATGAAATGATTTAGTTGCAGCTCATAAACACCATCTGATTACCGAAGTGATCAGTAATTTTGGTGCCGCTGAACCATTTAAATCAACATTGATCGTAAAGTCGTCAGTCAACTTGCAGGTAATCAAAGGCTAATGACAACATTAACGTAAACACGGGCTATTGTCAACACACTTCCTCTGGGAATTGGCTGTATTGGAATTCTAAATGAGTCTTGAAAGGTTTTTAAGTAGTTTTTCCTCTGAAAATTAAAACCCTTAATTGGCCTTTTTTGGTATGGTGGGATGGGGGGTTGTCCCTGACTAATTGCAGATCAGGATCAGTTGTTACTCACCAAGAAGGCTCTGACACAAAACTCATTTGCATATATTTTAATCGAACAATCAAGAGGTAAGATGTAAAGTCCTATAGGGCAGTTTGGTTTTCTTTGGCAGAGGTAGGCTAAGCTGATAAGAAAAATAGCAAACTTTATAGAAAGGGGATTCAGAGGGTAATTTGTTTATCATACGTTGTAACCGTAGACATCATAACATGAGTTTTCTTCACATAGAAAGAGAAGAAAGGAGATCTCTTGGAAAAGCGCGTCTCTTTGAAGCTGTTGATAGGTACTAATTATTACAGAGAACAGACGAGACCAAAATGATTTAGACCATTAGCATGCAATGCAAATGAGGATGACATTAATTAAATTGCGTGTCCATTAGTGTAATGACTGAAGCCGATTTAAATTTCACTGGTTTGGAACATTAATAAAGCTGAGGAGATGCTGCATCAAAGGGTCAAGACAATTTGTCAGCCAGTTAGAAAGAAATCCTGCTGAAAGCTGATTGGGAGTCATTTCTGCTCAGGCAAGGTAAGGCAAAGGGGAACTTTTAAAATATTTAGAAAGAGTTATTCCACTCTTATTTCCCTTTTCCAGCTGTTAACTAATGAAGATAGTTTCAGCGGCTCACATTTAGATAGGCAGAGTCCGCTTCAGGCCCATAAATTGGAGCTAATGTAAACAAATTCACAAGAACTCTGAAGGTTTAACAAGCCAAACAAAATTCTCCAGACTTGCGTCTTTTCTGTGCCTCATTTAATTACCAAATCCTTGTCCTGCAGTGATAAGGCATTGACAAACTTTTTCCTTTCTCTAAATTGAGAAACTCTGGAAGATTTCTTTCATCATAAATGAACAGGCCGGGCTGGCTGCAGAGGCGATGCCTGTGGTGTTTTTATTTGGCAGCGGAGCGTGCGGCAGGCGCAGGTTGGCCATCTGAGAGCGACAGATATGGAAAAGGCCTCTGTGTGGTCCTAGGTGATAAGGCTGTCCTCATACATGCATTTGTTAGGACGCTTAATCACCAGAGCGAGGAGACTTTGATCTCTATATTCACAACATCATTATCATGTGTGTACTACACACTTCTGCGTCAGCCATTGTTGGCTGTGTGGCCCTGAATGCACGATGAGCTTATGATCCTGTGAAATCTGTCGAGCAGACCCTCCTCCGCTTCTCTAGTTAGGCCTATTCATTAGATCACACGTTTGCACATTTAATAACAAAATCCAAGGCCATGTCCTTATATTACATTTTTATTCCTCATTCTGGAAGTAAACAATGTATTTGTATTAAAAATCCCTCGTCAAATTCAAAAGAAGGTCATTCAGTATTTGCTTCTCTTGACCATTTCTCTTTTTACCTTCATGTCATCCAAACTGCTGGAAAGCTCACACTGTGATCGATGTCACGCAATAAAAGCCCATTTCACATATATCTGAAAGTCAATCATGCAGCTAATTTATTGCTTTGTGGATTGCCCAGCATGGGAGTACTTCTGTCCTGACATGCTACTTTGAGTTGGCTGGAGTCTGGTTTGAATTGACCTCCACTCTATTAATGAGCTGTCACTCAGAAACTGAAACGTTTTCCTTTATTCACTGCAGCTCTCTTTGCCTCATATTTTCAAGGATTTTGTTGTTGACTTTTGAAACATTTTGCTTTCTTTTTCAGACACCACCATGAGTCATATCACGAGTATATTTCTGTTTCCTGTTTCTTTTCTTTATACGTCGTACTTCTCAGGAAAAATGGCATGATGTAGATGTGAAGTGAAAGGAAAAAAGGGCCTGAGGTTTTCTTTCTTTAATTAGACTTTGCTGAATTCCTGGAAACAAATCATCAGCTTACCTTGAACTATATGAATACCCACTGAATGAAAGAGTAACATATCATTCTGAACATACTCAGACAGTCAGATTAATTATTGTCAGCATGTTTGTGGAAATGGCACCATTTGAGGTGCAGTTTGTTGCAGCACATGAGCTTTCCAATCAAATTGTACACTCATGTTTCCTTCAAGGGAACACTGGACAGAAGGAGATCTTTCAGGATATACCATGTGATTTATTTTAAACCTTTTTAATTGCATCCTCCTTCTGTTTTCTTTGTTTCACAGCTCCCCATAGAGAAAACATTCTCAGAATTATATACAACATCATTTGCATAAAACCAACCATTGAAGTCTAGACAGCACAACACCTGTTTTATTGATAGAATGCATGTGTGCAACAACTGATACTGTAAACATCAATAATAAACCTTTCAATATTCAAATAAAAGGATTTTCATTTCTTTAAATGCAGTCTGAAATACAGCAGGCTAAGAGGCTAATTAATGCCATGATAATAATAATAATGTTACTATAGGTGGTTTGAACTCCCCTCATATTCAAATAAAAATGCAAAACTATAATAACTTAAGTTGCTTAATATGTTCAGTTATTATTTGTTCGGTTGTTATTAAGCCAAGTTACAGGAAACAAATCTAAAATTTTGAGATTAAAGTAAATGTTAATATACAACTTTATTCACTTAAACTTTCGACTTTCTGCAAATTCCAAACTCCATTCGATCTGCAGAGTCCCTCTGCACCTTTAAGAAAAAGCTAAAGACCCAGCTCTTTCATGAATACCTACTAACTTAATGATGATGGTCTCCATATTATTGATGATGATGATGATGATGATGATGGTAATGACGATGGTTTTTGTTTGATAACAACGACTTATAAGATGGTTTCTATACTGATAAGAGCTCTTAAGAACTCAAGAACTCATGTTGTGCTTTGCCTCTGTGCAATGCATGTCAGCACCTGTGTGTCCAATCAGACTCAAAGCTGATCGTTTGCTCTTACTGACATTGTTCCCTTTTTTCTAGATCCTTGCTTGTGTTGTACTTACTCTCTGATGTACGTCGCTTTGGATAAAAGCGTCTGCTAAGGATTGTTGAATTGTAGAATTGTAGACTTTAATCACGTTGTGTAAAACTAGTTGAGGTTGGAGGTAGATCACTGTCAAAGTGCATTGTGTTTGTTATAGTATCTAAACACACATGAAGATTTGAAAAATCTAAATTTGGCACTTTGTAACAGTTCACAGAACAAAACCTTGACTTCAAACATCAAACAAAACAATTTGCAATTTTAGCAGTTCCATGAGTACTTGGAGTCTGGTTAAATCCATGCTCCGATCCATGCTCAAGCACGGTACACTTCCTTGGCCCTGGAACGCTTCAAAGAGGTGTTCTTCAGCACGGTACAGGTCATGCACATGCACATGCACGGGCACACAACGTGGACAGCCTTCATTATGGAGAAATCCCGCAGTGTTCTGGCTGTATCTGTCTTTTAAATGACTCAAAATAAGCCATTATTACGACGTTATGTACAAGAGGTAACCTTGCTCAGGCCTGGTTAGTTCTGGAGCTGTGTGAGTGACAATAACATCCAATACAACCTTTTTGTTAAGTGTACACATTCTGCAGTCACTTATTACCAGTGGATCTTAAGTAACAATGAGTCAAATACACAACATCTCAAAGCTCCTTTGATTAACGTTGTGTTTGTGTGGATTTCTGCCGTACTTATCTCTTTGCTGACTTTGACCTGCCTATGTTTTCTGTGTTTTGTCCTGAAGAGGCATTCATATTTATCTCAGTCGGTTTCATAAACAGCTACAAACTCCTCACAGGAGCTTTAAGATGGTTTCAAAAAAATCTAGATGAAAGATAAATTATTTTGTGATAGCAGAGTTTTCCTTTGCTGAATTCTGTCTTTAATATTTTCCTGCTTTGTTGCGGGATATGAGAAACAGTCTCACATCATGTCTGTTTGATCATGAGCCGGAGTTACTTCTTCTAATGTCTTCAAAGCATGAAGACATTTCTGCACAGCAGCAGATTCTGCAGGGGAGGGAAGACATTGAAAAGGCACTTAGGACTTGAAGGCCATTAAATTTAATATGCAAGTAATGTATAAGTCGGGTTCATTATCATAATATGTTTTCTGGTATCACTGTGTGAGCAATTTAAATTGTTATAGGCCGTGGATAATTCATTATTATCCCTCAGTATTAGATGTTTCATATGCAAATTTAATGCAATGAAGGAAATTATTTTAAAGAATATTTTCCTCCTGCAGTCTCTTGTCGTAGAAAGAATAAAAAACAGGCATTAAAAAAAGAAATTGGCCTATTTTGTCTCACTGCAGTGCTGCCATACAGCACCAAGTCGCATACAGTGAAGGTCATTACATGAGCTCTGCCCTCCTGTTCTGCACCATCATTCTGTCAATACATTATTCAATTTCAGA